AAACATTATTTTTATCACTGTAAAAAGAAAACTCAGGTTGAAGCTGTAGCTCAATGGTACAGTGTTTGCTTACTTAGCATATGCAAAACCCTGGGTTCAATCTTGGCCACTGTAAAAAAAAAATCACTTTAGGCAGGCCAGTGCATTCCTGTAATTCCATCATTTGGTAAAGTGAATGGGAGGTGGCACATTTGAGACAACCCATGGCTTCCTAAGGTGTTGCAGGTCAGTCTGGACTACGTGGAAAACCTACGTTTGTCAGCATGTACCTGTCCTCCCTGTCTGACTCGAGGAAACCACTAATCATTCACTCTGTATATTTGCCTTTTCTGGATATTGTTAGTCAGATTTCTGTTGCTATGACCAAATACCAAAGAAACATCAATTTAATAGCTGTGTGTGGTAGCACAAACCTGTAATCCTAGCACTGTGGAAGTAAGAGATAGGAATAGAGCCCAAGCCTTTGATCCCAGCACTGGGAGGCAGAGGCAGGTGGATCTCTGAGTTTGAGGTCAGCCTGGGCTACTGAACAAGTTCTAGAACAGCCAGGGCCATATAGAGAAACCCTGTCTTGAAAGAAAAACTACATATGATTACTGTGGTTTGCTGGCCAGCCAGTCTAAGCAAATTGGTGAGCTGAGAGGGAGGAAAGTTTTATTTTGGCTGAGTTTCAGATGCTCCAGTCCATGGTCACGGCCTCCTTACTGTGGGTCTTTAGGTGAGGGCAGAGCAACATAGTGCAGAGGGAGTAGCAGAAGAAAGCTGCTCACCTCATGGTGGCCAGGAACAGAGACCAACAGGGTCAGGAACAAGATACATCCTTCCAGGACACACCCTCAGGACCCAGTTCTTCACTAGGCCTCCCAATGATACCATCAGCTGACAGCCAACCTTAACGCATGTCCTCTGGGGGCTGGAGAGATGGATGGCTCAGCGCTTAAGAGCACTTTCTGCTTGCCTGGAACAAATTGAGCTACTACTACTGCTGTGGTGAAACACTATGACCAAAACATTGGGGAGAGGAAAGTGTTTATTTCACTTACATGGACCACAGAGCAGGAACCTGGAGGCAGGAGCTAATGCAAGGCCATGGAGGATGCTATTCACTGACTTGCTCTTCATTGATTGCTCAGCCTGCTTTCTTACAGAACCCAGCCCAAGTCGAACCACCCCACATCAATCACCAATTGCCTACAGCCCAATCTCAAGAAGGCATTTTCTCAATTGAGGTTCCCCTCCTTTAAGATAACTCTAGCTTGTGTAAAATTGACATAAAGAACGAGCCTCCTAGCACAACTGACCAAACACATCACTTTTCAACTACAACACTCCCTTTCTAATTTGTCTCCAAGATGGCATATTAATATTGATATTGCAACATAAAAATATAAAACAGCCGGGCGATGGTGCCATCATCACCCCACTGCGCACATGCATTTTTGTGGATCTGTTAACTCAGTTCTTTGTGGAATATTCCTGGGAGTGGAACTGCAGGGTTCTTGAATTTACTCTTTTTGTTTGTTTCAGACAGGGATTCACTATGTAATGCTAGCTGGCCTATAATGTATTCTACATATGACTACCACACCCACTGTGATTAATCTTTTAAGGGACATTTGCCTTTCAATAGGCACTTTGAAAGTCTTATTTATTCCTTCATTGTGTGGTGTGTGTGTGTGTGTGTGTGTGTGTGTGTGTTACCAAGAGACAGGGTTTTCTGACTGTCCTGGAACTCACTTTGTAGACCAGGTTGGCCTCAAACTCACAAAGATCCACTTGCCTCTGCTTCCTGAGTGCTGGGATTAAACACATTTGTCACCACTGCCCAGCATCTCTATTTTTTTTTAGAGATTTATTTGTTACGAACACAACACCCTGCCTCCATGTATGTCTACACATCAGAAGAGGGCACCAGATCTCATTACAGATGGTTGTGAGCCACCATGTGGTTGCTGGGAATTGAACTCATGACCTCTGGAAGAGCAGTCAGTGTTCTTAACCTCTGAGCCATCTCTCCAGCCCCCTCTATTTGTTATTTTTAAGGCAGGGTTTTGCTATATGGTACAGACCAGTCTCAAACTCATGCCAATCCTCCCTAAGTCTCCTGGGTGCTGGGATTATATGCAACATCACACCTAGCTTTCCCAAAGTCCTTTGTCATTTTCAAAATAAGCTAGCATCCCAGTCTTCCCATCTGGACTGTGTGTATTTTGAGAACAGAGACTGGCCTCACTCCATTTTGTGTATTTCCAGGACTGTAATACCTTGCTTAGTTAAATGAGTAAATGAATAAATGTTCTAGATCAGTGCTATCCACTACACCAGCCACAAACCACATGTGGCAGCTCTTGAAATGTAGCTGGTCTAAATTTAGGTGTGTTGTAATAAAATAGGGTGTATATTTCAAAGACACTGTGAAGAAAGGTAAAATGCTTCATTGTTTTTGTTTTGTTTTGTTTTGTTTTTTGAGACAGAGTTTCTCTGTGGCTTTGGAGGCTGTCCTGGAACTTGCTCTGTAGACCAGGCTGGTCTTAAACTCTCAGAGATTCCACTGCCTCTGCCTCCCGAGTGCTGGGATTAACGGCGTATGCCACCACCGCTGCCCGGCTCATTGTTATTTTTATATTAAATATTGAAACAATAATTTAACCCAATATACTTGAAACAGTATATGGTAGTATCAAAATTAATTTTATTAAACACTGTCTCAAAAAAAACAAAAAAACTCTTTTTATGATCCTAATTCTTTCTATTAAAAACAATGTGGGCTGGAGAGATGGCTCAGAGGTTAAGAGCACTGACTGCTCTTTCAGAGGTTCTGAGTTCAATTCCCAGCAACCACATGGTGGCTCACAACCATCTGTAATGAGATCTGGTGCCCTCTTCTGGCATGTAGGCATAATAAATATTAAAAAAAAATTGTGTGTGGTGCTAGAGTTGAACCCCAGGGCCTCTGTATAATAGGCAAGCAAGTGTTCTACCACTGAGCCCCATCCCTAGCCCTAGGTTGTTGGGACAGGATAGGCTATGTACCCTAGGCTTGCCTAGAATTAAGATATTCCTGCCTTAGTCTCTCTAGGGCTGGGACTGCAAGTGTGCACCATTGCACCCATCTTTTTTTTTGATGGTTTGAGGCAGGGTTTCTCTGTGTAGCCCTGGCTATCTTGGAACTCACTGTGTAGACCAGGCTGGCCTCAAACTCAGATATCCACCTGTTTCTGCCTTCCAAGTGCTTGCATTAGAGACATGACATGTGCTACACACCTGGGTAATGTGCTCAGCTTTATAATGCATGCAAATTAGAAAAAAGATATTTGCATTATTATTAGTTTTTCAAGACTGGGTTTCTCTGTAGGTTTGGAGACTGTCCTGAAACTCTCTGTCTCTGAAGACCAGGCTGGCCTCAAACAGATTTGTATTATTTTTTAAGGTCTTAAATTATTTACTTTTGGCCGGGCGTTGGTGGCGCACGCCTTTATTCCCAGCACTCGGGAGGCAGAGGCAGGTGGATCTCTGTGAGTTCGAGGCCAGCCTGGTCTACAAGAGCTAGTTCCTGGACAGCCTTCAAAGCCATAGAGAAACCCTGTCTCAAAAAACCAAAAAAAAAATTTATTTACTTTTGTGTGGAGGCATAAGTGCCATGGTCCTCCTGTGGAGGTCAAAGAATAACTCGATAGCCATTTATCTCTCCACTATGTGGGTCTGAGTATTGAACACAGATGGTCAGGAAATCCTTTTACCCAGTAATTCACCTCATTAAGCTGCTATTTTTATTATTCTTAATTCTGTGTGGAGTATGTACATGTGAGTGTAGGGACCAGTGAAGGTCAGTGGTGTAAGATCCTCTGGAGTTACAAGCAGTTGTAAGCCACCTGACATGGATGCTGGGACTCGAACTTGGGTCCTCTGTAAGAGCACTATATATTCTCAACTGCTGAATATCCCCTCTAATGCTAGACCTAGTAAAAAAAATTAAATTGCATTATTTGCTTACCTTCCAGCTTCCTGATTGGCACTGTTGGTCTAAATCATTCTTTATACTTTAGTCAGAATGAGCCCATGAAGTATCAGCCAAATCATATATAGTCAAATAGGTTTATCTGAGGTAGCTATAGTCTATGATGTTGCTATGAATAATTAGTAAACGCTGAAATACTGCTTCTAAGAGAACTTTAGGGTTATACTCCTGTGAGCCTCTGGTTACATCTTTTTTCTTTGTCAACTGATCAGTATACAACTTTGTTTTTTGAGTGTCTACGTTTGTTTTTGTTTTTCAAGACAGGGTTTCTCTGTGTAGTCTCAGCTGTACTGGAACTAGGTCTGTAGATCAGGCTGACCTAGAAATCAGAAAGAAATCTGCCTGCCTTTGCCTCCCGGGTGCAGGGATTAAAGGCATGTGTCACCACCACCCAGCAGAGTGTATATGCTTAAAGACACCTGTCTGATTTGTATTATTGGTTCTGTTTAATTAAATTTAAAGTCAAGCCTATACAGACTCAGCTAATACATTTTTTCAAGGCAGCTTTCAAGCTCATACAACAGAGGATGGGTGACACAGGAAGCATGAAGTAGAGAATTATAACCTGAACTTGTTCTTAATTAAACGACTCCAAGGGGTAGTGCTTTTACTTTTTTCTTAATGTGACAGAGATGCATTACTGGTGATTCCAAGGTAATCACCACTAGGTACCATCCACCCAAAGGACAGCAGATCCTTTTTTACTTAGAAACACTAGACAGCAATTCAGCCCTACCTTTAGGGTCGTTATAAAAAATAATATTCTTGTTTTATGTGCATTGGTGTTTCATCCACACATATGTCTGTATAAAGGAACTGGAATTACGGGCAGTTGTGAGACGCCAGGTGGGTGCTGGGAATTGAACCCGGGTCCCTTGAAAGGGCAGCCAGAGCTCAGAACCATTGACCCATCTCTCCAGCCACGCCCCCGCCCTGGGCCACTTTAAATGGCAAAACCATTAACGCTGTACACCCGATAAAATATATTTGTAACAGGTTGCTTTTATTTCACGTCACCTAAGAATGAAAGGGTTGGTGAGATGACTCATGGGTGTTTGGCTGCCAAACCTAAAGACCTGAGTTTGACAGCCAAAACCCACCCGCTGGAAGGAGACCTGACTCCTCAAAGTTGTCCTTGACCTCCACGAGCGCCCGACACACACACAAATACAGAAGGAAAAGAGGACAGAGCTCGTCAGTGGTTTTAGTTTTCACGTGTAATAAACGCAAGCTCCTTCATCGGCCGTGGTTCCTTTCTTTCCGCCTCCCACCTCGCGCCCAGCGTCCCCTTCCCGAACTTCCCTGCCCAAAGGCAACACTCCATAATCCTGCTGCGCAGTTCTCGAGCTCTCCTCCGTGGCGCCGGTCGTTTCGTGGTTTGTTTATCGTCTGTCAGAAAGGAAGCGGTGTGAGGGCAGGGACGGCTGGCGTGGTTCCCAGTTTCAAGCTCGGCGTCTGGGCAGCCTGAGGCAAGGGTGGGGCGCCTCCCTCAGGCGTGCACAGCGGCTGGCCGGGGAGGGAGGCAAACACCGCTACGCTCAACTCTCCCCAGCCGGTCCCGCAGCTGTCAGGCCTGGGTACGCCCGTGTGCTTATCTCTAGCCTGCCACGCGCCTCCATTGACGTCGCCCTAGCTCGTCACGTGTGGTTCTAAGCTCCGCCCTTCGCCGCGAGGCCAGCGGCTTGGGCCTTTCTCCTAACCCTATCGGTCTCGGACAGCTCCTCCTAACAGGATCTGAGGCAGCCGTTCCTGCAGCTGCGCCGTGAGGGGACCCACCTACGGTGAGTCGCCTCTGTGACTTCGGAAAGGCTTCCGGTGGGACCCCTCCCGCCCGGTGAGGTGGGGCTGGGCTAAGAAAATCTCGGCCCGCGTGACCTGGCCTGCGGAGCCCCGCCCTCCGCCTCTCCGCCGCGCGGTGGGTGCCGGGAGTCGTAGGCCCCCGCTTCAGTGTATGCTGCGGAAGGACTACAAGTTCCAGAGTCCTCGGGGTGCGGGGGCGGTGTGCGCTCCGAGCCCGGGGCTAGAGGGGCTCTTCGGAGCTTCGCACCGGGCCCGACCTGCGCCGGTTTCTGTGTTCCTCCGGCCTCGGGTTCCTGGATTCCGAGGTAAACGGGACTGGGGTGGCGTGGTGGACCCCATTCCTCCATGAGACGCAGAATCGGGGCGGACAGTTGATTTCGGTGTGGCTGCAGCTGCTGGGCTGCGAGGGACTGCTTTTCAGGGCCGCGAGCGACTGGGCCTGCAGACACGGGATTATTGGCCGGAGAAGGGCCGGCTCACTCGGGTGGTCCTTATCACGCCTTTGTACATTTCAGTAAGAAAGGCTGCATGTGTCGTTTCTCATCGGGATATGGAGGGTAGGAGGTGCGGCAGTCGGTCGGGGAGGGTCCCCGTGCCAAGCCACCTCAGAGACCCGCGGGTGACCTTGGCAGTCCCGGAGGAGCCCGTCTGGCTCTCCCTCCCCCGCCGGTTTGCAGGTCTGGACGCGGCTCCGCGAGGCGCTCCGGCAGAACGTTAGGAAGGCGGTGGGCTGGCGAAGCCCCAAGCTATCCTGTACCTTGGAGAAGGTGGGTCCCCTGGCGCTTCTCAACAGGTGTGAAAGAAGATGGAGCGAACAGCTTAGGATCCTCTGCATCAGAAAGACCTGGACTTTCCCCATCGCCCGGGATCTGATTAAGTAGTTGAGGAATGAGGCCCAGAAATCAGCATTTAGTAAGCTCTCCAGAAATTCTCATCCACACTTGGGACTGAGAACCTGTGTCTCAGGAGTGAGAATCAAGGACCCTTGGGGAGACGGCATTCAGTAGCTTTTACATCAATTTTGTAGTAGACTCCAAGCACAACATTGAGCTCTCCCAGGTACTTTGCTTCTTCCCTGGGGGCTGAGCTGAGTTGGGTGGGAAGAGGCAGGCATGTCTGCTCTTCCTGCGCTCTGCTCATAAGAAGAAAGATGCTTTCTGTCATTCACTGCCTTGCAGACCTCTATACCCTCTATACCGACGTTTAATTAGGAAAAATTAAAAGGGTGCTGGACATGTTGACTTTCAGCAGTGCACAGAATGTACAGTTAATATTGTCCTTTATTGTGTACCCATCCAGCAGTCTCTTATTTTTATGCATGCCAAAGTACACTGCAGATAACAGTATATTTCCATTCCTAGTAGTTAAGCTTGCATATTATTAACTAGTTTTAGAAGTCTTGGTGCTTATTGATTTTTTTAACCTTGGCTCTTTAAAAGTCAGTCTGCCTCCCAGCCCTGAAGATCCAAGGTTTTGGAGGGTTTCTCATAGGATGTGGTTTCAGAACCAGGAAAGACCTTTACATAGACTCTTAGAGGACTTGAAAACAGCTGATCACGGCTTTAGAACTGGAAGTGTGTAAAGAATACTCGAGGGAACAAAACTGTTTTGAGAGAAAGAAGATGGCCTGTGTCCCCGATGCCTGGTTGTCCCAGCAGATTATGCTGGCAATAACTGAAGTGAGCTGTCTGCTGGTTCAGCCCTTGGCCTTGTTCTCTTGGCTTGCTTTGGATGTTCCAAGCTTGCCCAGTTTGAGCCTGCTGCTGTGGTGGGTGTGTTTGAAGCTCTAGGACAGGGTCAAGGTACATAGGCGGTAGCTTCATGGTACTGATGAATTATGGTTATAGTTTTGAGTCCCACAGGTCTCTGTACTTGCTCCATAGCTATGAACACTAGACTGTCACACACCCTGTTCATTTGTAAGGGAGAAAAGCCAGAAACACCACTCAAAAGGCAAAAGTGGAAAGAGTCCACAGTTTGGGAGATGTGGCAGTAAAAGGCTTGTTGTTTATGTTCTGTCCTGTAAGTGAGAGATGTTCTAGTGAGAAGTCAGCGTGTGGGGAGTTCTACAGAGGAGTTGGTCTTTACTGGGGTGACGAGGAGAGAGAGTATGGCTGGCAGTGTTGATGGGAGGTTTCTTGTCCTATGACATAACTTAGATTGTACAAAACAGAAATGGACCCATTTCTTGGAGCCCACAGAAGACTCCATCTCCACCCAGGACTCCCCCCAAACACTGTGTCTTGTAGGGAAGGCTGCATGGTAGTATACCACTGCAGAGGGCAGAGCAAGCCAGGCCTCTGCCCTTCCAGAATCACCCACCCACACAGTCCTGAGCCTGTGGCCCTTGGGCTTACCTGGTGGTGATAATAGGGTCCTGGAACAAGTATTTCCTAGACTTGGAGATGGCAGCCCACACTGAAGAAGGTCCCTCTTTGTGACTCTGAAGCTTTGTGACAAACCATTTCCCTTCTTAGAACCTCGTGTGTTACATTCAGACAAAGAACACCAGACAGACTAGATGAAAACCTGTGTCTGCCATGAGTGCTGAGATTAGGATTCCTTCATGATAGACGAAAGAACATGGGGCTGCATAACACAAAGAAATCTTAACAGTCTGGTATTGCACCCTGTATTTTCAGCTACTGTGAAGGCTGAGTGGAAGAGTACATTGTTGAGCCCAGGAGGTAGGCAGAGGTCCTGGCTTGCAAAGCCAAAGCCACTGTCTCTCATCCCCTGAAAGCAGTTGTAGTACTTTTTTTTTTTTTTTTTTTTTTGCTTTTTACGAGACAGGGTTTCTCTGTATTGTTTTCGAGGCTGTCGGTCCAGCCCAGCCTCGAACTCACAGAGATCCACCTGCCTCTGCCTCCCGAGGGCTGGGGTTAAAGGCGTATGCCACCACCACCCGGCTGTAGTACATTTTCTTTATGGAAAACATTTCTCATTTTCATGTTTCTGATGTGAGTGCTCAAATCCTTGGTTTATCTGTCCAGTGGGTGATCCAGTTCATCAGTTCTTAACTACAAGAGTTTAGTTAAAACTCTGAACTGGGTAATCCCAGCATGGGGGGTGGGGGTGCGCGCAGAGGCAGGCGGATCTCTGTGAGTTCGAGATCAGCCTGGTCTACAAGAGCTTGTTCCAGGACAGCCTCCAAAGCCACAGAGAAACCCTGTCTCAAAAAACAAAACAAAACAACACAAAACAAAAAAACCTCTGAATGTGCCCGTATTCAATAAATGTTAATTTAGTCTGAACTCAAATCCAGTTGCGTGCTATGTCTAGGATGTTCCTTCTAGAAGAAACACAGGTGAAGTAGGTAATAAGGTGTGAGGGTTATTTGAGTGGTGGTTGAGAAGAATTCTAACTTCTTACTCCTTGATGAGTAGTTACTGTGGTTCAATGACATTAAGTACAACAGCCTTACATGTTGGGAGAATGGAGTGAGATTTCAATGCAGCGTCCTTTGTATATTTATTGTTGCTCATTGGCTGATTATCTAGGATAGTGGTTTTCAACCTGTGGGTCTAGATCCTTTGGGGGGTTGAACTCCCAGAAATCCACTTACCTCTGCCTCCTGAGTGCTGGAATTAAAGACATGTGCCACCACCACCCAGCTCTTTCCTGTTTTTAACTTTGACCATAAATAAAGGCACTTTCAAAAGAAGAACATGAGGTCTACCTCAGCTGTGGCATTTGAGTTACGAATAGCATAGGGTATCCACCGAGGTTAATCCCAAGTCTCATGAACTCATTTATTCAGCAGGTGTATACAGACGGTTCAGAGAAGTGCAAGGTGCGGTGGGTGGGGCTAGAGTGCACTGAAGAAGGCATGGTACATAGGGCTGAACCTAGACCTCTTCTCTCACAGCCCAGTTGGCCATCAGATGAGATAGAGGATTTTTTGTTTTGTTTTGTGTTTTTCTTCAGAATTAGTATTGGCCGAGGTTTAAAGGAAATGTTTTATAGATTATAAGGACTGGAGAAATTTTTTTGCAGTTAAGTGTACTTGCTGATCTTCCAAAAGACCTGGGTTCAATTCCCAGCACCTATGGTAACTCCAGTTCCATGGGACCCTACACTCTCTTTCTTTCTCAGGCATTCCATGAATGTAGTGTACAGACATGCATGCAGGCAAAACCCTATACACATAAAATAAAATTTTTAAAAATTGGCAGTTGACAAGCTGCTCAGCAGGTATAGACATTTGACTTTAGACTTTAATCTTCAGGACACACTTAACAAAAAGAATGAACCAGCTGTCTTAGGTTGGCCTCTGACTTCCACAGGCATACCATAGCACACAAGCCCACACATATACATAAATTGTAATTAAAAAAATGATTGGAACCCCTTTCAGCCTTCTAGTTTGGTGACTGGGTGTGGCATACAGAAATAGGGCCTTCTGGATGGGGAACTCCTGCCCAGGAATGTGAGCTAAGCTGTAGCACTCATATTTTATGAGCTGTGGAGATACTGTCCCCAAGTACTAGTCCAGAGTCTTGAGCACAGTGTTTGAACCTCTTCTGGGAGTGACTAATGCCCTGGGCTTGGAACTCCCTACCTGCCATCCTGCAGGGCCCCCACCCACAGACCTCTTCAGGTGGTTATAGCCACCCAGTGATCTTGCCTGTTCTGTAAATTCTTCCCAGGTGGATGGATAGGTAACTGAGTACTAGGGCTGTGAATTGAATATCACTGTCAAGGGTGCAATGAAGTGTCTGAATTAAAGAGTTGAGGATCTTGACTCTAGAGTAAATAGTCACTTAGAATAGGAAGCTAGGCTAATAGGGATCCACTGAATAAAAAAGTGGCCCATGTTCAGACCTGAAGAACCATGCCCTGTTCAGGGAAGAAGACCTCCTATGATCACTTCTCGGCTCTCAGATTCCAGGTGTTCTCTATCCCCTAAGGCTAGAACCTTAGTTTTTGACCCCTGGTCTTGGTCAAGCTAGGTGCCATGTACGCATGGTTTACTTGCTTTGCCTAGAGATGAGCCACACTCTGACCTGCTTCTCTGAGGCTTGAAACTAGCCAAAAAGGAACTGTGCTAGCACTGCCATAGGTACCTGAG